CTTTCTGGAAAGATGCTTTCCATGCTTCCTCAGTCATTTATGGAGCGTGGGAAGCACTGACTGGGCGATGCGATCAATGGTCCAATCTGATTCCCTTTGGGGGTCAATTAGAATAGAGCCAGAAGGGACCTTGGAGGTCTTCTAGTCCAACCTCCTGCTCAAGCAGGAGATCCTGTACCCTTTCAGATAGGTGGCTGTCCAGTCTTTTCTTAAAAGCCTCCAATGATGGAGCACCCACACCTTCTGGTGACAAGCTGTTCCGCTGGTTAATTCTCCTCACTGTGAGCAAGTTTCTCCTTAATTCCAGGTTGCTTTTTTCCTGGATTCTTTTCCATTCACTCCTTCTTGTCCTGCCCTCTGACCCTTTGGAGAACAGGTCGAGCCCCTCTTCTCTGTGGCAGCCCCTCAAATACTGAAATACAGCCATCATGTCCCCCTTAATCCTTTTCTCTAGACTAGCCAAACCCAAATCCTGCAAATATTCTTCACGTTTTTGTCTGCAGGCCTTTGAGTTGCTCTTCTCTGCACTTTTTCCAAAATCTCAACAACTTTTTTGTAACGTGGTGACCAAAACTGGATGCCACATTCTCCAGAAGCCCCCCAATCACCCTTCTTGCTCTTCGCTTCAGCAGTAACTCCTCAATCCCCCCTCCCACGACGTCAGTCTAACCTCAGCTGGGGAGAGGGGGGGCCCAGGGGATGGGGAGGTGCTGAGCACCTGGGCAGGGGAGATGGGCCAGCCACAGGGGCGGGGCTTCTGGGGAATGGGCGTGGCCTCTGCACAGGTAAGATCCCCTGCCACCTGAGGCTCCGGCAGAGCGTTGCGGTCCAGGCTGACTGTTGGGATTGCTCGCTTTGCGTCCGTGCCTGCCAGACTCTCTCTCTCTCACCAGCCCCATGATGCACTCCCAGATGCCAGTCCGGTCCCTTCTCTGCGCCCTCCTGATGCTGCCTCTGGGGATGCCCACAAATATTGTCGAACTGCGCTTCTCAGATGAGCGGGTGCAGAGGGCCGTGGCCTTTGCAGTGCGGGAGTACAACGTGGGCCGACAAGACAGTCTCGCCTATTTTAAAATGCAGCGAATTGCGTACGCGATGTCACCGGTGTGTGTCTGGGGCTGGGAGGGGGTTTTTGCGGGAAGAGGACACAGTTTTCTGCCGTTGGTATCCAATGCAGAAATGTTTGCTCTTGAAATGATGTTTTTGCTGCTCTCGAGGCATAACGTCCCTTTCCACCTTGCAACCCACGAGGCTGATCATGTTTTCCTTATTTTTAAATCCAGGTGATTTTTCCCAACGTGTACCTTGTTACTGTCGTGTTGGCGCAAACTACATGTCTAAAGAGGCCCGGTATCACACTGGAGTATAGGAAGGTCCAGCAATGTCCTCTATTTCCAAGCCAACTGCAGGTGAGTTGAGATGCCAGGTTCCGATCATATATGTGCGGTTTCATTGATTAAAAAAAAAACCTGTCTGGTCTGAGCTCAGCAGCCCCCTCTGTTAAACTGATTTCAATTATTTTCATGGGCGATTTCAATTCAAAAGACTAGAAGTGATCTGATGATCGTGTTTGCTATATGAGGGGCTGCCCCAAAGAAGACGGGGGGGGTCACCTATTCTCCAAGGCAGGAGCAGAAGCAACGGATGGAAACTCATCCAGGAGAGAAGCAACCTGGAATTAAGGAGACATTTCCTGTCAGTGAGAACAATTAACCAGTGGAACTGCTTGCAACTAGAAGTGGGTGCTCCGTCGCTGGAGGCTTTTAAGAAGAGATTGGACAAACGTTTGTCTAAAGTGGCTCAGGGTCTCCTGCCTGAGCAGGGGGTTGGACTAGAAGACCTCTAGACTCCGTTCCAATGCTGTTTTTCTTTTCATTCCCTTCCAGGTAATCTGCTACTTTAAAGTCACATCCTATCATGAGGATACTATGAGCTTGGACATCAAAATCTGTGATAATTATGTGGACACAAATGTGCATTGGAATCCCTAAATTCGCCATCTCTGAGTTTCTGAAATTGTTCCTTGACATACACGGAGGCCTTTCCTGGCACTTCTGTTTTCTCTAATTTTCATCTTTGAGAAGAATCGACATTTTGCTAATTCAGTCGATTAGTCTTAATAAAGCGATTATCATGACGTTCCGTCTTGTCTTCCTTTCTTGTCCCAATCCCATCCAGCCTTCCCGTTTTCACGGCGACAGCACAATGACACCACGGCTTGTTCAAGGAAGCCTCCAGCCATTTGGGGTACTTTCCAAACTTCTGGAAAGTTTGATCCGTTTGACAGTTTTCAAGAAGCGCAACTAAGGTTTTTAACAGAACGAATACTGCTTCTTTCCCAAACTCTACTCCAATTGGCATATTATGCCAGTGAACATGCCTAGCCCCTTGGGGACATAAAATACGAGAGGGAGGGAGGGAGGAAAGGATAGGTTGAAAGGAATTGGGGAGGGAGGGAGGGAAGGAGGGAAGGAAATGAATATGCCTTGCCCATTGGTGATAATTACCAGGAGACCTTCAGAGATATAGAATACAAGAGGGAGGGAGGCTGGAAGGAAGGAAGGAAGGAAGGAAGGAAGGAAGGAAGGAAGGAAGGAAGGAAGGAAGGAAGGAAGGAAGGAAGGAAGGAGGGAAGGAGGGAGGGAGGGAGGGAGGGAGGGAGGGAGGGAAGGAAGGAAGGAAGGAAGGAAGGAAGGAAGGAAGGAAGGAAGGAAGGAAGGAAGGAAGGAAGGAAGGAAGGAAGGGATATACTAACAACACATAGCTATATCCACCCTTTGTGCCCTGGTAATAATAATAATAATTCTGGGAGATAATTATAATTGTAATTGTTATTATTGATAATAATAATGATAATAATAATAATAATAATAATTCAATTGCAAAAGGCGGCCTTATTAGGAACTGCTCAATTGCAAAAGGCGGCCTTATTAGGAACTGCTTCCATCCTGCGACGATACCTGTAATACCATCAAACATCTACATCTGCCTATCCCAGGTCCTGGGTAAGGACTCGATAGGTAGACAAAATGCCAAATCCAGTCTGAACATCTGGCTGACTGTGCGATGATTGATAATAATAATAATAGTTGGAAGGGACCTTTGAGGTCATCTAGTCCAACCCCCTGCTCAGGCAGGAAGCCTACACCATTTCGGACAAATGGCTGTCCAGTCTCTTCTTAAAAACTTCCAGTGTTGGAGCATTCAGCGCTTCTGGAGGCAGGTGGTTCCACTGATTTATAGTTCTCACTGTCAGGAAGTTTCTCCTTAGTTCCAGGTTGCTTCTCTCCTTGCTTAGTTTCCATCCGTTCGTTCTCGTCCTGCCTTCAGGCGCTTTGGAGAATAACTTGACTCCCTCTTCTTTCTGGCAGCCCCTGAGATATTGGAACACTGCTATCCTGTCCCCCCTCTCGTTCTCTTCATTAAACTAGACCAGTGGTGGCGCACCTATGGCACGGGTGCCAGAGGCGACACTCAGAGCCCTCTCTGTGGGCACACGTGCTGTCGCCCCAGTCCTAGGCCTTCAGCTGGGTTTTATAAAATCTTTTCGCTTTAGGCCTCCGCTGCTATGTGCAAAAAATAAAAGGTTCACTCAATCAGTCAATTTCAACTTCTCGTGAAGAAAAAAAAAGATCTTGCAAAGTTGGAATTGATTGATTGACCTTTTTAATCCCAGTCTGCCGTTACCACCGCAGCCACGCCCACCCAATGGGACACTGAACTAGACATACCCAATTCCAGCAGCCTTTCCTTATATGTTTTAGCCTCCAGTCCCCTAATCATCTCTGTTGCTCTTCTCTGTACTCTTTCTAGAGTCTCAACATCTTTTTTACATTGCGGTGACCAAAACTGGATGCAGTATTCCAAGGGTGGAATGTTGCAGCCTCTCCAGGGTCTTGTGATTTACATTCAGATGCTTGGCCACTGATTCATATTTATGATGGTCACAGTGTCCCAGGGTCATGTGAAGTGACCAAAACCTGCTGCAACCACCCAGCAGACGGGGGGGAATAAAAACCAAACACCCCCCCACCCCTCCCCCACTGCCAATCCTCAACAGAAATGCTCACAACAATGAAAGCCTTGGACAGGAGGAAGAGTGTGGCTGGGCGGGCAGGTGGGCGCCTTGCTCGGCTGTGGCTTGGGGGGCACTTTTTTCAGTGCCACTGTAATTTCAACAGTCACTAAGCGAACTACCTGTACTTTATCACTTTTTTCCTTTTTTCCTTTTTTTTTTTTTTTTTGGTCATCAAGTTTTTGACACCTTGCTAGGCGACTGGTGCTACTCAGATGTTGCCATACCCTAAAAGTAGTACAATTGGTGAAAAGGTTGAAAAGTCCAACCCACTATTCAATCCGGAGACCTTATTCCATTCTGAAAAAATGGCTGTCCAATCACTTCTTAAAATCCTTTTAAAAATGATCAGAAACACGAAGATCACTCAAGCCCTCATATCACTGGAATATGAGCCAGCAGGGTGCTGCAGCTGCCAAAAAAGCCAAGGCAATCCGAGGCTGCGTGTCTAGGGCGATTCTGCGTCCTCCAGAGAGTGATTGTCCCACAGGTGGACTTTCCTGTTTTTGTAACCAGAGGCTGCATTAACAGGGATTTGTGGGGCTGTCTCAGTGGCTTCTCAATGCTGGGGGGGGGGAGACAATCAAAACCTCTGAGCGGGCGTTCATCCAAGCCTTCTGCAGTTTCCCGATCTCCTCCATCGCATCAGGGAACAGCAGTCCACTCTGTTCTTTCTGGAAAGATGCTTTCCATGCTTCCTCAGTCATTTATGGAGCGTGGGAAGCACCTTCTGGTGACAAGCTGTTCCGCTGGTTCATTCTCCTCACTGTGGGGAAGTTTCTCCTTAATTCCAGGTTGCTTCACTCCTGGATTCTTTTCCATTCACTCCTTCTTGTCCTGCCCTCTGACCCTTTGGAGAACAGGTCGAGCCCCTCTTCTCTGTGGCAGCCCCTCAAATACTGAAATACAGCCATCATGTCCCCCTTAATCCTTCTCTTCTCTGTGGCAGCCCCTCAAATACTGAAATACAGCCATCATGTCCCCCTTAATCCTTTTCTCTAGACTAGCCAAACCCAAATCCTGCAACCGTTCTTCACGTTTTTTGTCTGCAGGCCTTTGAGTTGTTCTTCTCTGCACTTTTTCCACAATCTCAACACCTTTTTTGTAACATGGTGACCAAAACTGGATGCCACATTCTCCAGAAGCCCCCCAATCACCCTTGTTGCTCTTCGCTTGAGCAGGAACTCCTCATTCCCCCCTCCCACGACGTCAGTCTAACCTCAGCTGGGGAGAGGGGGGATCCAGGGGATGGGGAGGTGGCGAGAACCTGGGCAGGGGAGACGGGCCAGCCACAGGGGCGGGACATCTGGAGAATGGGCGTGGCCTCTGCACAGGTAAGATCCCCTGCACCTGAGGCTCCGGCAGAGCGTTGCGGTCCAGGCTAACTGTTGGGATTGCTCGCTTTGCACCCGTGCCTGCCAGACTCCCCCCCCCTCTCTCTCTCTCTCTCTCTCTCTCTCGCCAGCCCCATGATGCACTCCCAGATGCCAGTCCAGGCTCTTTTCTGCGCTCTCCTGATGCTGCCTCTGGGGGTGCCCCAGGATCGTGTCGAACTGCACTTCTCAGATGAGCGGGTGCAGAGGGCCGTGGCCTTTGTAGTGCGGGAGTACAACATCGGCCGACAAGACATTCCCACCTATTTTAAGCAGCTGCGAGTTGTGTCCTCGGAATCACTGGTGTGTGTCTGGGGCTGCGAGGGAGTTTTTGCGGGAATGGGGGATGGGGGGGGCAGCCTCGTTGGCTCCCTGGAGTAGCCAAACGATTCGGAGTTACTCGAAGGTACAGTGGAAGGGAATTGAGGGAGGGGAGGCAGTTTGGGGGGGGGAGTCTTCCCTGGAAGGTACTGTGGATCGTGGACAGGAGGGGCCTGACTCTTTATACCTGAACAGTTATTGCAGAAGTGTGTCTGGGGGGGGGGAGTTGGGGGGGGCAGCCTCGTTGTGTCCATGAAGCAGGCAAAGGACTTGGGATTGCTCTGTAAACAATAGAAGAGTTTGGGGGGGCTGGGGGGAGCTGAGAGGGTGCTCTAAGGGAGGGACGGTTATCCTGGACGCCAAGGACATGGTTTTCTGCCGTTGGTATCCGATGCAGACATGTTTCCTCTTGAAATGATGTTTTTGCTGCTCTCGAGGCATAACGTCCCTTTCCGCTTTGCAACCCACGAGGCTGATCATGTTTTCCTTATTCTTAAATCCAGGTGAAATTTCCCAACGTATACTTTCTTACTCTCGCGTTGGTGCAAACTGCATGTCTAAAGAGGCCCGGTACCACAATGGCGTATAGGAAGGTCCAGCAATGTCCTATATTTCCAGGCAGTCTGCAGGTGAGTTGAGATGCCAGGTTCCGATCATATATTTGCGGTTTCATTGATAAAAAAACACCTGTCTGGTCTGAGCTCAGCAGCCCCCTCTGTAAAGCGGATTTCAATTATTTTCATGGGCGATTTCAATTCAAAAGACTAGAAGTGATCTGATGATCGAGTTTGCTATATGAGGGGCTGCCCCAAAGAAGATGGGGGTGGAGGGGTCACCTATTCTCCAAAGCAACTGCAGGCAGGAGAAGAAGCAACGGATGGAAACTCATCCAGGAGAGAAGCAACCTGGCATTAAGGAGACATTTCCTGTCAGTGAGAACAATTAGCCAGTGGAACTGCTTGACTCCAGAGGTTGTGGGTGCTCCATCACTGGAGGCTTTTAAGAAGAGATTGGACAAACGCTTGCCTAGAATGGTTCACGGTCTCCTCCCTGAGCAGGGGGTTGGACTAGAAAACCTCTAGAGTCCGTTCCAATGCTGTTTTTCTTTTCATTCCCTTCCAGGTAATCTGCTCCTTTAAAACCACATCCTATCATGGGGATACTATGAGCTTGGACGACAAAGTCTGCATTGATTCTGACACAAATACGCAATGGAGTCCCCAAATTCCCCGTTTCTGAGTTTCTGAAATTGTTCCTTGACATACACGGAGGCCTTTCCTGGCGCTTCTGTTTTCTGTAATTTTCATCTTTGAGAAGAATCGACATTTCAGTCGATTAGTCTTAATAAAGCGATCGTCATGACGTTCCGTCTTGTCTTCCTTTCTTGTCCCAATCCCATCCAGCCTTCCCGTTTTCACGGCGACAGCACAATGACACCATGGCTTGTTCAAGGAAGCCTCCAGCCATTTGGGGTACTTTCCAAACTTCTGGAAAGTTTGATCCGTTTGACAGTTTTCAAGAACCACAATTAAGATTTTTAACAGAATTAATACTGTTTATTTCCCAAACTCTACTCCAATTGGCATATTATGCCAGTGAACATGCCTAGCCCCTTGGGGACATAAAATACGAGAGGGAGGGAGGGTGGGAGGGAGGGAGGGAGGGAGGGAGGAAGGAAGGAAGCAGGGAAGGACAAAAGAGATATAGGTTGAAAAGGAGGGAGGGAGGGAGAGGGAAGGAGGGAAGGAAGTGAATACAAGAGGGAGGGAGGCTGGAAGGAAGGAAGGAAGGAAAGAAGAAAGGAAGGAAGGAAGGAAGGAAGGAGGGAGGGAGGGAGGGAAGGAAGGAAGGAAGGAAGGAAGGAAGGAAGGAAGGAAGGAAGGAAGGAAGGAAGGAAGGAGGTGATATACTAACTACAACACACAGCTATATCCACCCTTTGTGCCCTGGTAATAATAATAATAATTCTGGGAGATAATTATAATTGTTATTATTGATGATGATGATGATAATAATAATAATAAAAATAATAATAATAAAGTTGGAAGGGACCTTGGAGGTCATCTATTTCAACCCACTATTCAACCCGGAGAACCTATTCCATTCTGAACAAATGGCTGTACAAACACTTGTTAAAATCCTTTTAAAAATGATCAGAAACACGAAGATCACTCAAGCCCTCATATCACTGGAATATGAGCCAGCAGGGTGCTGCAGCTGCCAAAAAAGGCAAGGCAATCCAAGGCTGCGTGTCTAGGGCGATTCTCCATCCTCCAGAGTGTGATTGTCCCACAGGTGGACTTTCCTGTTTTTCTAACCAGAGGCTGCATTAACAGGGATTTGGGGCCTGTCTCCGTGGGCGCCCAATGCCAGGTCAAAACCTCTGAGCGGGCGTTCATCCAAGCCTGCTGCAGTTTCCTGATCTCCTCCATCGCATCAGGGAACAGCAGTCCACTCTGTTCTTTCTGGAAAGATGCTTTCCATGCTTCCTAAGTCATTTATGGAGCGTGAGAAGCGCTGACTGGGCGATGCGATCAATGGTCCAATCTGATTCCCTTTGGGGGTCAATTAGAATAGAGCCGGAAGGGACCTTAGAGGTCTTCTAGTCCAACCTCCTGCTCAAGCAGGAGATCCTGTACCCTTTCAGATAGGTGGCTGTCCAGTCTTTTCTTAAAAGCCTCCAATGATGGAGCACCCACACCTTCTGGTGACAAGCTGTTCCGCTGGTTAATTGTCCTCACTGTGGGGAAGTTTTTCCTTAATTCCAGGTTGCTTTTTTCCTGGATTCTTTTCCATTCACTATTTCTCCAAAGAGAACAGGTCGTGCCCCTCTTCTCTGTGGCAGCCCCTCAAATATTGAAATACAGCCATTATGTCCCCCCTTTTCCCATTCTTTTCTCTAGACTGGCCAAACCCATATCGTGCAACCGTTCTTCATGTTTTTTGTCTGCAGGCCTTTGAGTTGCTCTTCTCTGCACTTTTCCCAAAATCTCAACAACTTTTTTGTAACGTGGTGACCAAAACTGGATGCCACATTCTCCAGAAGCCCCCCAATCACCCTTCTTGCTCTTTGCTTGAGCAGGAACTCCTCATTCCCCCCTCCCACGATGTCAGCCTAACCTCAGCTGGGGAGAGGGGGGACCTAGGGGATGGGAAGGTGGTGAGAACCTGGGCAGGGGAGATGGGCCAGCCACAGGGGCGGGGCTTCTGGGGAATGGGTGTGGCCTCTGCACAGGTAAGATCCCTTACCACCTGAGGCTCCTCCAGGCTGACTGTTGGGATTGCTCACTTTGCGTCCGTGCCTGCCAGATTCTCTCTCTCTCTCTCACCAGCCCCATGACGCACTCCCAGATGCCAGTCCAGTCCCTTCTCTGCGCCCTCGTGATGCTGCCTCTGGGGAGGCCCACGGATCTTTCCCCCATGCCCATCGCAAATGGGGAGGTGGCGAGAGCCGCAGCCTTTGCCGTGATGGAATACAACAAGGACCGGCATGACATTCCCACCTACTTTAAGTCAGTGCAAATTCTCTACGGGCAATCACAGGTGTGTGTCTGGGGCTAGAAGGGAGTTTTTGCGGGGATGGGGGGGGCAAGCCTTGGAGTAGCCAAACGATTCAGAGGTACTTGAAGGTACAATGGAAGGGAATTGAGGGAGGGGAGGCAGTTTGGGGGGGGGGAGTCTTCCCAGGAAGGTACTGTGGATTGTGGACAGGAGGGGCCTGACTCTTTATACCAGAAGTGTGTCTGGGGGGGGGAGTTGTGGGGGGGGGCAGCCCCGTTGTGTCCGTGAAGCAACCAAAGGACTTGGGATTGCTCTGTAAACAATAGAAGGGTTTGGGGGGCTGGGGGGAGCTGAGGGGGGGCTCTAAGGGAGGGACTGTTATCCTGGACGCCAAGGACATGGTTTTCTGCCGTTGGTATCTGATGCAGAAATATTTCCTCTTGAACCGATGTTTTTCCTGCTCTCAAGGCATAACGTCCCTTTCCGCCTTGCAACCGATGAGGCTGATCATGTTTTCCAATGAATTAAAAGGTCATGTTACTTATTTTTAAATCCAGGGGGATCTTCCATTCAAATACCGTTTTACTATCAGGTTGGTGAGAACTGCATGTGTAAAGAGGCCCGGTACTACAATGGCATATAAGAAGGTCCAGGAATGTGATCAAATTCCAGGCTATCTGCAAGTGAGTTGAGATGCCAAATTCCGATCATATATTTGCAGTTTCATTGATAAAAGAAACCTGCCTGGTCTGAGCTCAGCAGCCCCCTCTGTAAAGCAGATTTCAATTATTTTCATGGGCGATTTCAATTCAAAAGACTAGAAGTGATCTGATGATCGTGTTTGCTAAATGAGGGACTGCCCCAAAGAAGACGGTGTGTGTGTGTGTCACCTATTCTCCAAAGCAACTGCAGGCAGGAGAAGAAGCAACAGATGGAAACTCATCAAGGAGAGAAGCAACCTGGAATTAAGGAGAAATTTCCTGTCAGTGAGGACAATTAACCAGTGGAACTGCTTGCCTCCAGACGTTTTGGTTGCTCTATCACTGGAGGCTTTTATGAAGAGATTGGACAAACGCTTGCCTAGAATGGTTCAGGGTCTCCTGCCTGAGCAGGGGGTTGGACTAGAAGACCTCTAAAGTCCCTTCCAAATTTGTTTTTCTCTTTCATTCCCTTCCAGGTAACCTGCAACTTTAAAGTCACATCCCATCAGGGGGATACTATGACCTTGGACATCAAAAAATGCTCTGATTCTCTTGACAACAATTGGAAATGGAATTCCTAAATTCGCATTTCCTGAGTTTATGAAATTGTTCCTTGACATACACAGAGGCCTTTCCTGGCGCTTCTGTTTTGTGTAATTTTCATGTTTGACAGGAATCACTGTTTTGCTAATTCAGTCGATTAGTCTTAATAAAGCGATCATCATGACGTTCCGTCTTGTCTTCCTTTCTTGTCCCAATCCCATCCAGCCTTCCCATTTTCACGGCGACAGCACAATGACACCACGGCTTGTTCAAGAAAGCCTCCAGCCATTTGGGGTACTTTCCAAACTTCTGGAAACTTTGATCCGTTTGAGAGTTTTCAAGAACCACAATTAAAATTTTTAACAGAATTAATACTGCTTGTTTCCCAAATTCTACTCCAATTGGCATATTATGCCAGTGAACATACCTAGCCCCTTGGGGACACAGAATACGGTCGGGAGGGAGGGAGGGAGGGAGGGAGGGAGGGAGGGATAGGTTGAAAGGAAGTGGGGAGAGAGGGAGGGAGGGAGGAAAGGAAGAAAGAAAGAAAAAGAAAGAAAGAAAGAAAGGAAAGAAAGAAAGAAAAAAGAAAGAAAGAAAGAAAGAAAGAAAGAAAGAAAGAAAGAAAGAAAGAAAGAAAGAAAGATATAAATTGAAAAGGAGGGAGGGAGGGAGAGTGGGAGGGTTGGAGGGAAGGAGGGAAGAAGGGAGGGAGGGAGGGAGGGAGGGAGGGAGGGGAGGGAAGAAGAAAGAAAGAAAGGAAGAAGAAAGAAAGAAAAGAAAAGAAAAGAAGAAAAAGAGAATAGATATAGGTTGAAAAGGAGCGAGAGGGAGGGAGGGAGGAGAGGGAGGAAGAAAGAAAGAAAGAAAGAAAGAAAGAAAGAAAAAGAAAGAAAGAAAGAAAGAAAGAAAGAAAGAAAGAAAGAGATATAGGTTGAAAAGGAGGATAGGAGGGAGGGAGGGGGAGGGAGGGAACGAAAGAAAGAAAGAAAGAAAGAAAGAAAGAAAGAAAGAAAGAAAGAAAGAAAGAAAGAAAGAAAAAGATATAGGTTGAAAAGGAGGGAGGGAGGGGGAGAGGGAGGGAGGGAGGGAGGGAGGAAGAAAGAAAGAAAGAAAGAAAGAAAGAAAGAAAGAAAGAAAGAAAGAAAGAAAGAAAGAAAGAAAGAAAGAAAGAAAGATAGATAGATATAGGTTGAAAAGGAGGGAGGGAGGCAGGGAGGGAGGGAAGGAGAGTGGGAGGGAGGGAGGAAGGAAGGAAGGGAATATACCTTACCAGTTGGGGATAATCACCAGGAGAACTTCAGGGATATAGAATATTAGAGGGAGGGAGGGAGGGAGGGAGGGAGGGAGGGAGGGAGGGAGGAAGGGAGGAAGGAAGGAAGGAAGGAAGGAAGGAAGGAAGGAAGGAAGGAAGGAAGGAAGGAAGGAAGGAAGGAAGGAAGGAGAGATAGGTTGGAAGGGGATGATATGTTGACAACAACACATAGGTATTTCTGCCCTCAGGGACAGGGCGACAGGACACAATTAATGTTCTGGGCAAGATCTGTATAATTTGTACGCATTTTAATCCTTATGACAATTTTCCACCCTTATGGCTGTTGCAGCCTCCCCATGCTCACATGGTGCTTGACAACCGACTCATATTTATGACGGTTGCAGAGTCCCGGCGTCATGTGATCCATTTTATGACCTTCTGACAAGCCAAGTCAATTTGAGCTCAATTGTGGTCGTAAGTGGAGGACTACCTGTATTCAAAGTGTGGAGTTATCGAGGCATTATAAAGCGGTATTAACATTTCACGTGTCCTTGATTCTGTCCCGCCATTAATGCATTTTAAGAACAGAATAACAGAGTTGGAAGGGACCTTGGAGGTCATCTAGTCCAACCCACTATTCAAGCCGGAGACCCTATTCCATTTTGAACAAATCGCTGTCCAATCACTTTTAAAAATCATCAGAAAAGCGAAGATCACTCAAACCCTCATATCACTGGAATATGAGCCAGCAGAGTGCTGCAGCCCTGCAGATTTTACTCCGCTAGTCGCGCCTGACTACCTAGACTAGCCAAACCCAAATCCTGCAACCGTTCTTCACGGTTTTTTGTCTGCAGGCCTTTGAGTTGCTCTTCTCTGCACTTTTCCCAAAATCTCAACAACTTTTTTGTAACGTGGTGACCAAAACTGGATGCCACATTCTCCAGAAGCCCCCCAATCACCCTTGTTGCTCTTCTCTTGAGCAGTAACTCTTCATTCCCCCTCCCACGACGTCAGTCTAACCTCCGCAGGGGAGAGGGGGGACCCAGGGGATGGGGAGGTGGCGAGAACCTAGGCAGGGGAGATGGGCCAGCCACAGGGGCGGGGCTTCTGGGGAATGGGCGTGGCCTCTGCACAGGTAAGATCCCCTGCCACCTGAGGCTCCGGCAGAGCTTTGCGGTCCAGGCTGACTGTTGGGATTGCTCGCTTTGCGTCCGTGCCTGCCAGACTGTCTGTCTCTCTCTCAACAGCCCCATGATGCACTCCCAGATGCCAGTCCGGTCCCTTCTCTGCGCCCTCCTGATGCTGCCTCTGGGGATGCCCCAGGGTGTTTCCTACATGCCCATCCCAAGAGCGATGGTGCCGATACTCGCGGCCTTTGCCGTGAAGGAATACAACAAGGACCGGAATGACAGTCGCACCTACTTTAAGATAGTGGAAATTCTGTACACGAAATCACCGGTGTGTATCTGGGGCTGGGAGGGAGTTTTTGCGGGGATGGCCGGGGACAGCCTTGGAGTAGCCAAACGATTTGGAGTTACTTGAAGGTGCAATGGAAGGGAATTAAGGGAGGGGAGGCAGTTTGGGGGGGGGGAGTCTTCCCAGGAAGGTACTGTGGATCGTGGACAGGAGGGGCCTGACTCTTTATACCAGAAGTGTGTCGGGGGGGGGGAGTTGTGGGGGGGCAGCCTCGTTGTGTCCCTGAAGCAGGCAAAGGGGATTTGCTCTGTAAACAACAGAAGGGTTTGGGGGGGGGGGCTGGGCAGAGCTGAGGGGGGGGGGCTCTACGGGAGGGACTGTTATCCTGGACGCCAAGGACATGGTTTTTTGCCGTTGGTATCCGATGCAGACATGTTTCCTCTTGAAACGATGTTCTTACTGCTCTCGAGGCACAACGTCCCTTTCCGCCTTGCAACCCACGAGGCTGATCATGTTTTCCAATGTTACTTAAATCCAGGTGGATGATCCGAACGAATACTATTTTAATGCCAGGTTAGCGAAAACTGGATGTTTAAAGAAGCCCGGTACCACAATGGCATATAGGAAGATCCAGCAATGTCGGGAATTTCAAGGCATTCCGCAGGTGAGTTGAGATGCCAAGTTCCGATCATATATTTTATCATTGATAAAAAAAGAAACCTGTCTGGTCTGAGCTCAGCAGCCCCCTCTGTAAAGCTGATTTCAATTATTTTCATGGACGGTTTCAATTCAAAAGACTAGAAGTGATCTGATGATCGTGTTTGCTATATGAGGGGCTGCCCCAAAGAAGACGGGGGTGGGGGGTCACCTATTCTCCAAAGCACCTGCAGGCAGGAGGAGAAGCAACGGATGGAAACTCATCAAGGAGAGAAGCAACCTGGCATTAAGGAGACATTTCCTGTCAGTGAGAACAATTAGCCAGTGGAACTGCTTGACTCCAGACGTTGTGGGTGCTCCATCACTGGAGGCTTTTAAGAAAAGATCAGACAAACGCTTGCCTAGAATGGTTCAGGGTCTCCTGCCTGAGCAGGGGGTTGGACTAGAAGACCTCTAGAGTCCCTTCCAAATTTGTTTTTCTTTTCATTTCCTTCCAGGTAATCTGCCACTTTATAATCACATCCTATCATGGGGATACTATGAGCTTGGACGACAAAGTCTGCGATGATTCTGTCTGAAATCGGCCATAGAGTCTCTAAATTCGCATTTTTTGAGTTTCTGAAATTGTTCCCTGACATACACGGAGGCCTTTCCTGGCGCTTCTGTTTTCTCTAATTTTCATCTTTGAGAAGAATCGACATTTTGCTAATTCAGTCGATTAGTCTTAATAAAGCGATCGTCATGACGTTCCGACTTGTCTTCCTTTCTTGCCCAAATCCCATCCAGTCTTTCCGTTTTCACGGTGACAGCACAATGACACCATGGCTTGTTCAAGAAAGCCTCCAGCCATTTTGGGGTACTTTCCAAACTTCTGGAAACTTTGATCTGTTTGACAGTTTTCAAGAAGTGCAATTAAGATTTTTAACAGAATTAATACTGCTTGTTTCCCAAACTCTACTCCAATTGGCATATTATGCCAGTGAACATGCCTAGCCCCTTGGGGACACAGAATACGAGAGGGAGGGAGGGAGGGAGGGAGGGAGGGAGGGAGGGAGGGAGGAAGGAAGGAAGGAAGGAAGGAAGGAAGGAAGGAAGGAAGGAAGGAAGGAAGGAAGGAAGAGATATAGGTTGGGAAGGAGGGAGGGAGAGTGGGAATATACCTTGCCAGTTTGGGATAATCACCAGGAGAACTTCAGGGATATAGAATTTGGGAATGAGGGAGTGAGGTAGTAGAGATATGTTGAATGGAAGTGGGGAGGGAGGGAGGGAGGGAGGGAGGGAGGGAGGGAGGGAAGGAAGGAAGGAAGGAAGGAAGGAAGGAAGGAAGGAAGGAAGGAAGGAAGGAAGGAAGGAAGGAAGGAAGGAAGGAAGGGAATATACCTTGCCAGTTGGGGATAATTACCAGGAGAACCTCAGGGATATAGAATATTAGAGGGAGGGAGGGAGGGAGGGAGGGAGGGAGGGAGGGAGGGAGGAAGGAAGGAAGGAAGGAAGGAAAGAAGGAAAGAAGGAAAGAAGGAAAGGAAAGAAGGAAAGGAAAGAAGGAAAGAAGGAAAGAAGGAAAGAAGGAAGGGGATGATAGGTATTCCTACTCTCAGGGCAGGGCGACAGGACACAATTAATGTTCTGAGCAAGATCTGTATATTTGTACATATTTTAATCCTTATGACCATTTCCCACCCTTATGGCTGTTGCAGCCTCCCCATGCTCACATGGTGCTTGACAACCGACTCGTACTTATGACGGTTGCAGAGTCCTGGGGTCATGTGATCCATTTTGTGACCTTCTGACAAGCCAAGTCAATTTGAGCTCAATTGTGGTCGTAAGTGGAGGACTACCTCTATTCAAAGTGTGGAGTTATCGAGGCGTTATAAAGCGGTATTTCCACTTTATGTGTCCTTGATTCTGTCCCGCCATTAATGCATTTTAAGAACAGAATAACAGAGTTGGAAGGGACCTTGGAGGTCATCTAGTCCAACCTACTATTCAAGCCGGAGACCCTATTCCATTCTGAACAAATGGCTGTACAAACACTTCTTAAAATCCTTTTAAAAATGATCAGAAAAGCGAAGATCACTCAAACCCTCATATCACTGGAATATGAGCCAGCAGAGTGCTGCAGCCCTGCAGATTTTACTCCGCTAGTCGCTCCTGACTACCTAGACTAGCCAAACCCAAATCCTGCAACCGTTCTTCACGGTTTTTTGTCTGCAGGCCTTTGAGTTGCTCTTCTCTGCACTTTTCCCAAAATCTCAACAACTTTTTTGTAACGTGGTGACCAAAACTGAATGCCACATTCTCCAGAAGCCCCCCAATCACCCTTGTTGCTCTTCGCTTGAGCAGTAACTCTTCATTCCCCCTCCCACGACGTCAGTCTAACCTCCGCAGGGGAGAGGGGGGACCCAGGGGATGGGGAGGTGGCGAGAACCTGGGCAGGGGAGATGGGCCAGCCACAGGGGCGGGACTTCTGGGGAATGGGCGTGGCCTCTGCACAGATAAGATCCCCTGCCACCTGAGGCTCCGGCAGGGCGTTGCGGTCCAGGCTAACTGTTGGGATTGCTCGCTTTGCCTCCGTGCCTGCCAGACTCTCTCTCTCTCTCTCTCTCAACAGCTCCATGATGCACTCCCAGATGCCAGTCCAATCCCTTCTCTGCACCCTCCTGATGCTGCCTCTGGGGATGCCTACGGGTCTTTCCCACATGCCCATCCCAAATTCGGTGGCGCCGATAGCCGCGGCCTTTGCTGTGATAGAATACAACATGGAGCGGCATGACAGTGCCACCTACTTTAAGGCACTGCAAATTCTGTACGGGCAATCACCGGTGTGTATCTGGGGCTGGGAGGGAGTTTTTGCGGGGATGGGGGATGCGGGGGCAGCCTCGTTGGCTCCCTGGAGCAGCCAAACGATTCGGAGTTACTCGAAGGTACAATGGAAGGGAATTGAGGGAGGGGAGGCAGTTGGGGGGGGGAGTCTTCCCAGGAAGGTACTGTGGATTGTGGACAGGAGGGGCCTGACTCTTTATACCTGAACAGTTATTGCAGAAGTGTGTCTGGGGGGGGGGAGTTGTGGGGGGGCAGCCTCGTTGTGTCCGTGAAGCAGGCAAAGGACTTGGGATTGCTCTGTAAACAACAGAAGGGTTGGGGGGGGGCTGGGGGGAGCTGAGGGGGGGCTCTAAGGGAGGGACGGTTATCCTGGACGCCAAGGACATGGTTTTTTGCCGTTGGTATCCGATGCAGAAATATTTCCTCTTGAAACGATGTTCTTGCTGCTCTTGAGGCATAACGTCCCTTTCCGCCTTGCAACCCACGAGGCTGATCATGTTTTCCAATGAATTAAAAGGTCATATTACTTAAATCCAGGCGGATCTTCCGAACAGACACAATTTTAATGCCAGGTTGGTGAAAACTGTCTGTCTAAAGATGCCCGGTAGCATTCTGCCATATAAGAGGATCGAGCAATGTCGGCAACTTCCAGGCAGCACAGAGGTGAGTTGAAATGTCAGGTTCCGATCATATATTTGCGGTTTCATTGATTAAAAAAAAAAAAAACCTGCCTGGTCTGCGCTCAGCAGCCCCCTCTGTAAAGCAGATTTCAATTATTTTCATGGGTGATTTCATGATAGAGTTTGCTATATGAGGGGCTGCCCCAAAGAAGACACGGGTGGGGGGGTCACCTGTTCTCCAAAGCAACTGCAGGCAGGACAAGAAGCAACGGATGGAAACTCATCAAGGAGACAAGCAACCTGGCATTAAGGAGACATTTCCTGTCAGTGTGAACAATTAACCAGTGGAACTACTTGACTCCAGAAGTTGTGGGTGCTTCATCCTTGGAGGCTATTAAGAAGAGATTGCATAATTTGATTACCCCATCACCAGGTTGTTTCTCAAGCACCTTGCTGTAAAAATGAAAAAATCAATAAAACTTGTTTTTTTAAAAGAAGAAGAAGAAGAGATTGGACAAACGTTTGTCTAGGATGGTTCAGGGTCTCCTGCTTGAACAGGGGGTTGGACTAGAAGACCTCTAGGGTCCCTTCCAACACTGTTTTTCTTTTCATTCCCTTCCAGATACACTGCTACTTTAAAGTCACAGCCCATCCTGGGGGTACTATGACCTTGGATGTCAAAAGATGCTCTGATACTCCTGACACAAATCGGCCATGGAGTCCCCAAATTCGCACTTCCTGAGTTTCTGAAATTGTTCCCTGACATACACTGAGGCCTTTCCTGGCGCTTCTGTTTTCTCTAATTTTCATCTTTGAGAAGAATCGACATTTTGCTAATTCAGTCGATTAGTCTTAATAAAGCGATCATCATGACGTTCCGTCTTGTCTTCCTTTCTTGTCCCAATCCCATCCAGCCTTCCCGTTTTCACGGCGACAGCACAATGACACCATGGCTTGTTCAAGAAAGCCTCCAGCCATTGGGGTACTTTCCAAACTTCTGGAAACTTTGATCCATTTGACAGTTTTGAAGAACCATAATTAAGATTTTTAACAGAATTAATACTGCTTGTTTCCCAAACTCTACTCCAATTGCCATATTATGCCAGTGAACATGCCTAGCCCCTTGGGGACACAGAATACGAGAGGGAGGGAGGGAGGGAGGGAGGGAGGGAGGGAGGAAGGAAGGAAGGAAGGAAGGAAGGAAGGAAGGAAGGAAGGAAGGAAGGAAGGAAGGAAGGAAGAGATATAGGTTGGGAAGGAGGGAGGGAGAGAGGGAGGGAGGGATGAAGGGAGGGAGAGAGAAAGAAAGAAAGAAAGAGATATAAGTTGAAAAGGAGGGAGGGAGGGAGGGAGGGAGGGAGAAAGAAAGAAAGAAATAGATATAGGTTGAAAAGGAGGGAGGGAGGGAGGGAGGGAGGGAGGGAGGGGGAGGGAGGAAAGAAAGAAAGAAAGAAAGAAAGAAAGAAAGAAAGAAAGAAAGAAAGAAAGAAAGAAAGATATAGGTTGAAAAGGAGGGAGGGAGGGGGGAGGGGGGAGGGAGGAAGAAAAAAGAAAGAAAAAAAGAAAGAAAGAAAGAAAGAAAGAAAGAAAGAAAGAAAGAAAGAGATATAGGTTGAAAAGGAGGGAGGGAGGGAGGGAGGGAGGGAGGGAGGAAGGAAGGAAGGAAGGAAGGAAGGAAGGAAGGAAGGAAGGAAGGAAGGAAGGAAGGAAGGAGAGATAGGTTGGAAGGGGATGATATGTTGACAACAACACATAGGTATTTCTACCCTCAGGGCTGGGCGATAGGACACAATTAATGTTCTGGGCAAGATCTGTATAATTTGTACATATTTTAATCCTTATGACCATTCTTCACCCTTATGGCTGTTGCAGCCTGCCCATGCTCACGTGATGCTTGACAACCGACTCGTACCTATGACGGTTGCAGAGTCCCGGGGTCATGTGATCCATTTTGTGACCTTCTGACATGCCAAGTCAATGGGGGAAGCCAGATTCGCTTATCAACGGGTTACTCAACAACTGGAGTGATTGGCTTAACAACTGTGGCAAGACAGGTTGTAAAATGAGGCAAAACTCACTTAACAGGTCTCACTTAACGACATAAATTTTGAGCTCAGTTGTGGTCGTAAGTCGAGGACTACCTGTATTCAAAGTGTGGAGTTATCGAGGCGTTATAAAGTAGTATTTCCACTTCACCTGTCCTTGATTCTATCCCGCCATTAATGCATTTTAAGAACAGAATAACAGAGTTGGAAGGGACCTTGGAGGTCATCGAGTCCAACCCACTATTCAAGCCGGAGAACCTATTCCATTCTGAACAAATGGCTGTCCAATCACATCTTAAAATCCTTTTAAAAATGATCAGAAAAGCGAAGATCACTCAAACCCTCATATCACTGGAATATGAGCCAGCAGAGTGCTGCAGCCCTGCAGATTTTATTCCGCTAGTCGCTACTGACTACCTAGATTAGCCAAACCCAAATCCTGCAACCGTTCTTCACGTTTTTTGTCTGCAGGCCTTTGAGTTGCTCTTCTCTGCACTTTTTCCAAAATCTCAACAACCTTTTTGTAACGTGGTGACCAAAACTGGATGCCACATTCTCCAGAAGCCCCCCAGTCCTCCTTGTTGCTCTTCGCTTGAGCAGTAACTCATTGCCCACTTCCGCGACGTCAGCCTAACCTCAGCTGGGAAGAGGGGGAACCCAGGGGACGGGGAGGCGGTGAGCACCTGGGCAGGGGAGATGGACCAGCCACAGGGGCGGGGCTTCTGGAGAATGGGTGTGGCCTCTGCACAGGTAAGATCCCTTGCCACCTGAGGCTCTGGCAGACTGTTCGGTCCAGGCTGACTGTTGGGATTGCTTGCTTTGCGTCCGTGCCTGCCAGACTCTCTCTCTCTCTCTCTCAAGCCCCATGATGCACTCCCAGATGCCAGTCCCCTCCCTTCTCTGCGCCCTCCTGATGCTGCCTCTGGGGATGCTCCAGGATTATCCCGACGTGCCCCTCACAGATTTGGTGGTGCAGATGAGCACGGCCTTTGCCGTGCAGCAATACAACAAGGACCGTTATGACAGTACCAACTATTTTAAGGAGCTGCGCCTTCTGAAGGCACAATCACCGGTGTGTGTCTGGGGCTAGGAGGGAGTTTTTGCGGGGATGGGGGGGGGCAGCCTTGGAGTAGCCAAATGATTCGGAGGTACTCGAAGGTGCAATGGAAGGGAATTGAGGGAGGGGAGGCAGTTTGGGGGGGGGGGAGTCTTCCCAGGAAGGTACTGTGGATTGTGGACAGGAGGGGCCTGACTCTTTATACCTGAACAGTTATTGCAGAAGTGTGTCTGGGGGGGGGAGTTGTGGGGGGGGCAGCCTTGCTGTGTCCGTGAAGCAGCCAAAGCAGCCAAGGGATTGCTCTGTAAACAATAGAAGAGTTTGGGGGGGCTGGGGGGAGCTGAGGGGGTGGGGGCTCTAAGGGAGGGACGGTTATCCTGGACGCCAAGGACATGGTTTTCTGCCGTTGGTATCCGATGCAGAAATATTTCCTCTTGAAATGATGTTTTTGCTGCTCTCGAGGCATAACGTCCCTTTCCGCCTTGCAACCCATGAGGCTGATGATGTTTCCCAATGAATTAAAAGGTGATGTATTTATTTTTAAATCCAGGTGGATTCTCCGTTCGAATACCATCTTACTGTCGTGTTGGTGAAAACTGCATGTAAAAAGAGGGCCGATAAGATAAAGTCGTATAAGAAGATCCAGCAATGTAAGGCACTTAGAGGGAATCATCGGCAGGTGAGTTGAGATGCCAGGTTCCGATCATATATTTGCGGTTTCATTGATAAAACCTGCCTGATCTGAGCTCAGCAGCCCCCCCCCCCGTAAAGCGTATTTCAATTATTTTCATAGGTGATTTCAATTCAAAATGATGGTGTTTGCTATATGAGGGGCTGCCCCAAAGAAGACGGGGGTGTGTGTGTCACCCATTCTCCAAAGCAACTGCACACAGGAGAAGAAACAACGGATGGAAACTCATCAAAGAGAGAAGCAACCTGGAATTAAGGAGAAATTTCCTGACAGTGGGGACAATTAACCAGTGGAACTACCTGCCTCCAGAAGTTGTGGGTGCTCCATCATTGGAGGCTTTTAAGAAGAGATTGGATAATTGATTAACCTGTCACCAGGTCGTTTGTCAAGCACGTTGTTGTAAAAATTAAAAAATCAATAAAACTTGGTTTTTTTTATAAAAAAGAAGAAGAGATTGGACAAACGTTTGTCTAGAATGGTTCAGGGTCTCCTGCTTGAACAGGGGGTTGGACTAGAAGACCTCAAGGGTCCCTTCCAACTCTCTTTTTCTTTTCATTCCCTTCCAGATAACCTGCGCATTTAAAGTCACATTTCGTGATCTGGTGAATATGAAGTTGGAAGTCACAGTCTGTAACTAATCTGGACCTCCGAAGGACCCCTTATGCGCAGGCGAAGGATTCTGTGGGTGTCCAGCAGCCGAGCGAGTTCCGGTATGCAAGCTGTGTTCATGGTAAACTTTGCTTCTTCTGACACAAATCGGGAATGGAATAGTTTGCTTAAGCCCAAAATTCACATTTTCTAAGTTTCTGAAATTGTTCTTTGACATACACGGAGGCCTTTTCTGGCGCTTCTGTTTTCTCTAATTTTCATCTTTGAGAAGAATCGACATTTTGCTAATTCAGTCGATTAGTCTTAATAAAGCGATCATCATGACGTTCCGTCTTGTCTTCCTTTCTTGTCCAAATCCCATCCAGCCTTTCCGTTTTCACGGCGACAGCACAATGACACCACGGCTTGTTCAAGAAAACCTCCAGCCATTTGGGGTACTTTTCAAACTTCTGGAAACTTTGATCCGTTTGATAGTTTTCAAGAAGCGCAATTAAGATTTTTAACAGAACGAACACTGCTTCTTTCCCAAACTCTACTCCAATTGGCATATTATGCCAGTGAACATGCCTAGCCCCTTGGGGATATAAAATACGAGAGGGAGGGAGGGAGGAAAGGATAGGTTGAAAGGAAGTGGGGAGGAAAGGGAGAAAGAAAGAAAGAAAGAAAGAAAGAAAGAAAGAAAGAAAGAAAGAAAGAAAGAGAGAGATATAGGTTGAAAAGGAGGGAGGGAGGGAGGGAGGGAGGAAGGAAGGAAGGGAATATACCTTACCAGTTGGGGATAATCACCAGGAGAACTTCAGGGATATAGAATATTAGAGGGAGGGAGGGAGGGAGGAGGGAGATATAGGTTGAAAGAAAGTGGGGAAGGAGGGAGGGAAGAAAGGAAATGAATCTTCCTTGCCAATTGGGGATAATTACTAGGGGACTATTAATGATATGGAATGGGAGAGGGAGGGAGGCAGAGGAGGGAGGGAGGAAAGGAGGGAAGGACATATAGGTTGAAAAGGAGAGAGGGACGGAGGGAAGGGAGGGAGAGAGGGAGGGAGGGAAGGAGGGAGTATTCTTTGCCAGTTGGGGATAATTGTGGTTGTAAATCAAGGATTACCTGTATGTGGACACATCTATCAATGAGGCTTGACGTAAGATGGGCGAGATATAAATTTAACAAATCAATGAAATTGGAGACTCCCATATTGTTCACGTAGACGAACAGCTCGTCTCTTTATCAGGATCTTTGACCACACACACACACACACACACACACACACACACACACACACACACACACACGATTGTTTGTTCCTGTCAGAAGCATCAGAATTAAAATAAGGCGTACTGCCTGACGTAACATTTAAGCAGAAGATTAAAATATGTAGAAATTAAACAGATCTTGACCCAGAACATTGTGTTCTGCCTTGCTGCTCCGCCGTCCTGACGCGTACATAGATCGGAGCGCAAAGGGCAGGTATGTGTTCTCTGCACGTCAGCACCTTCCTTTTTTTCCCCAACCTCTTTCCTTCCTTCCTTCCTTCCTCCCTCCCTCCATCCCTTTCAACTTCCTTCCTTCCTTCCCCTCCAATTCTCCTTTCTCCCTCTTTCCTTCCTTCCTTGCTTCCTTCATCCCCTTCCTCTCCCTTTTCTTTCCCTTTTCCGTTTCCTCCCTCTCCCTCCTTTTCAACCTATCCCTTCCTTCCTTTTCCTGCCTCCTTCCCTTTAACCTATCTTCCTTCCTTCTTTCCTTCCTCCATCCCCCCTCCCTTCCAATCTATCTTTCCTTCTTCCTTCCTTCTTCCATCCATCCCTCCCAACCTCTTTCCTTCCTTCATCCCTCCCTTCCAATCTCTCTCCTTCCTTCCTTCCTCCATCCCTCCCAATCTATCTCTCCTTCCTTCCTTCCTCCATCCCTCCCTTCCAATCTATCTCTCCTTCCTTCCTCCATCCCTCCCTCCCTTCCAATCTTTCCTTCCTTCCTTCCTACCTCCCTCCCAACCTTTCCTTCCTTCCTTCCTCCATCCCTCCCTTCCAATCTATCTCTCCTTCGTTCTTCCATCCATCCCTCTCTCCCAGCCTATCTTTCCTTCTTCCTTCGTTCTTCCATCCATCCCTCCCAACCTCCTTCCTTCCTTCCTTCCTTCCTTCCTTCCTTCCTTCCTTCCTTCCTTCCTTCCTTCTTTCCTTCCTTCCTCCCTCCCTCCCTCCTCTTACTCACTCACTCCATTGTGTTGTGGGTGTCAAATCATTAAGCTTGGATGAGATTTGGATAAGAAAGGAACACAAGCCAGAACGTCATGCCGACAGCTTTATTAAGACTAATTAACAACCAACTCAGTCAAGGAACGATCTGTCTTCTCTATAACTAAAACCATAGCAAAGAAAACTAGAGAAAAGGAGCCCCCCCCCATATACTGCATGTCCTGGAAAAACATGAACTTAAGTGAATCGTTGTGTTTGTGGTTTGTGAAGGGTCTTCTATAGGATCGTGACGGAAAAAAGCAAAGCTTGCTATACATTCAGCTTGCGGGGCTGCTGGACACACGCAGAACCGTTTGCCCGTATTGGGGTCATCTCAGTCAGTCCATCCCAGCCGTCCAGATTAGTTACAGGTCACCTTTGTCAACAATGTCTTATTCAGCCAAGGACGGGACCAGACTTCAAAGTGGCAAGTTAATTTCTAAAAGAGAACGGAGAGAGAGAGAGAAAAAAGGAAAACCCAGATCACCAGTGCTTGAGATGGTTGGTGGTATCTAAGCTGTCAATGGAAAGACTACTTGCAGCTCAGGGTTGAACTGTGGGGTCCCTGGTGCTCTCTGAGCTGGGTGGTTTTCTTGCAGACATTTCATGACCCAACTAGGTAACATCATCCATGCTAGAAGGGAGTACAGTTTACAGGGAGGAGGAGAAGGAGGAGGAGGACGACGACAATGACTGTGGGGTCCTTGGTGCTCTCTGAGCTTAGTTGTTTTCTTGCAGACGTTTCATGACCCAACTAGGTAATGTCATCAATGCTAGAAGGGAGGGTGCTTTGAGGAAAAGGAAAAAGAGGAGGAGGAGGAGGAGGGGGGAAGAGGAAGACTGTGGGGTCCTTGGTGTTCTCTGAGCTGGGTGGTTTTCTTGCAGACGTTTCATGATCCAACTAGGGAACATCATCCATGCTAGAAGGGAGTACAGTTTACAGGGGGGAGGAGGAGGAGGAGGAGGAGGAAGACGACAACGACGATGGTGGGGTCCTTGGTGCTCTCTGAGCTTAATTGTTTTCTTGCAGACGTTTCATGACCCAACTAGGTCACATCATCAATGCTAGAAGGGAGGGGGCTTTGCGGAAGAGGAGGAGGAAAGAGGAGGAGGAAAGAGGAGGAGGACTGTGGGGTCTTTGGTGCTCTCTGAACTTCGTGCTTTTCTTGCAGATGTTTCATGACCCAACTAGGTAATATCATCAATGCTAGAAGGGAGGGGGCTTGAGGAAGAAGTGGAAAAAGAGGAGGAAGAGGAGGATTATTGTTGGGGTCCTTGGTGCTCTCTGAACTTGGCTGTTTTCTTGCAGACATTTCATGACCCAACTAGGCAACATCATCCACGCTACAAAGGAGTGGGCTTTGTTCTCTCTTTATATGCTGTATAATGAGGGCAGTGCGTGGCTCAGCAGTTAAGACATTGGCTTGTCGGCTGGCTATCTGATTGCCCAGGTTCAAGACCCGAGCACCCCAGGATGGGCTGTGCTTCCGCCCTTGCTCCAGCTCCAGCCAACCGAGCCGTCTGAAAGCATGCAAATGCGAAGAGATAAATAGGTACCACTTCGGTGGGACGGTGACGTTTTGCTGACCCCACGAAAGCGGCCATGTCTTGGGACAGCGTCAGCTCTCTGGCCTTGAAAGTCGTTGCTGTAGTCAGCAACGACTAGCGGAGTAAAATCTGCAGGGACCCCTTTGTATCCAGACAATCCTCGACTTACAACGGTTCGCTCAGTAGACTTTTCGAAGTGACGACGGCCCTGAAAAAAGTGACCTGCGACCGCTTTTCACATGACCCTTGCAGACACTTGGCAACTGATTCATATTTATGACGGTTGCTGTGTCCTGGGGTCATGTGACCTTCCCCCCCCCAGATAGGGAAAGCCGTGTTACTAACTTAACACCTGCAGTGATTTACTTAACGACCGTGGCAGGAAAAGTCATAAAAAAAAATCAAATGGCTTGCCAAAGCATCTCAGGGCAGAACAAAAAATAACTTGATGGAAAAAATTTTTGCTTAGTAGAATATATCTGTGAAATAGAGTAAGATTGCATTTTTTGAATCAATATGTTTATTTTATGTATGATAATTATTCTGTAATGGAATGAGAACAAGAAAATGGATTGTGCTAATAGAAGACATGGTATTAATAAATGAGGAGCTAGTAAAACAAGAATAGAATATACAGTATTTAGGAAATGTTTTTTTTTAGATATTATAATTATTATGTTATGAAAAGAGGGATATTGCAGATACCCGAAGTATAAATATTAGGCTTATTTATGGTTAAATAGAAGAAGGGGACGACAGAGAATGAGATGGCTGGACGGAGTCACTGAAGCAGCAGGTGTGAACTTAAATGGACTCCAGAAGATGGCAGAGGACAGGAAGACCTGGAGGAACGTTGTCCATGGGGTCGCGATGGGTCAGACATGACTTCGCAATTAACAACAACATGGTTAAATTGAAATATGGTAACTGGAATTTTGTAAAGCTTAAATACAGGATTGGGATTTATATAGTTAAATGGCTACTGATAATTTTACTGATTGACTGAATTTTACTAGAACTGTATTAATCTGAATATGGTCTATGATTTGTGAGAATTAGAGAGGGATTATTTAACGAGTTAACCTGAGTTATATATAAATGTTTTGGTTTTTTGAATAATTGATTACCCTATCACCACATTGTTTCCTAAGCACCTGGTTGTAAAAATTGAAAAACTTAGTAAAACTTGTATTAAAAAAAAAAAAGAAACTCATCAGGGAGAGAAGCAAGCTGGAACTAAGGAGAAATTTCCTAACAGTGAGGACAATTAACCAGTGGAACGACCTGCCTCCAGAAGTTATGGGTGCTCCATCGCTTTTAAGAAGAGACTGCACAGCCACTTGTCAAGAATGATATAGACCAGTGGTGGCGAACCTATGGCACGGGTGCCAGAGGCGGCACTCAGAGCCCTCTCTGTGGGCACGCGTGCCGTCGCCCCAGTCCTAGGCCTTCAGCTGGGTTTTATAAAACCTTTTCACTTTAGGCCTCTGCCGCCATGTGCAAAAAAAAAAAAAAAGGTTCAATCAGTTAATTTCAACTTCTCGTGGGAAAAAAAAGATCTTGCAAAGTTGGAATTGATTGATTGAACTTTTTAGTCCCACCCTGTCTGCAGTTACCACTGCAGCCACGCCCACACAATGGGCCACGCCCACACAATGGGTCACAACCGCCTGGCACCCGACGATGCATAAGTGGGTTTTGGGTTGCAGTTTGGGCACTCGGTCTCTAAAAGGTTCGCCATCATTGGTATAGGGGTTCCTGCCTGAGCAGGGGGTTGGACTAGATGACCTCCAAGGTCCCTTCCAGCTCTGGGAAGGCAGCATCCAAAGAGCTGCCTAGAATTAAGCAGACATTTCCTGACAGCGAGAGCAATTAATCAGTGGAACAGCTTGCCACCGGAAAGTGTGGGTGCTTCATCAACCGAGGTTGTTTTTAAGAAGAGATTGGGCAATCATTTGAAATGACAGGGGGGGTCTCCTGCTTGAGCAGGGGGCTGGACTAGAAGTCCTCTGAGGTCCCTTCCTTATTATGTTATTCCTTATTAAGCGTGAAGGAAGCGGTAGCCCCAAATACTGGGGGTAGCAGATGTCTGTCATCAAAAAAGGAACAGGAGTAAAACAGGAAATGGCAGGCCCGTCAGCTTGATGCTTTATTGGGCAAGATCCTCAAAAAGATGCTATTAAGCAATCTATTTCAGAGAACCTAACAGGAATGCGGTCAGCCGGTGAATTTCAGCGAAGCATTTGCTTGTTCCTTCTTCTCTCGATATGGAGACGTTCTGGGCAGCTAAAACAATCCTAATTCCCTGCGTGACCTAACCCAGACAGCCTCCACAACTGAGCAAAAGCGAGATTGCTGTGCGCATCTTAATAGTTTTATAATGACCTGGATAAACGGTCACTGAATAAGTCAAGGCCTACCTATAACCCTAACAAATTGTAGCAAAAAAAACAAAAACAAACCCAGAGTTGCTTACGTGATGGGCAGCTATATAAATTAGATAAATAATAACAACAACAACATCAAACATCCACATCTGCCTATCCCAGGTCCTTGGTAAGGACTCGATAGGTAGACAAAATGCCATTTCCAGCCTGAACCTCTGGCTGACTGTGCAATGATCCATAATCAATAATAACAACAATAATAAAAAAGTTGGAAGGGGATCTTGGAGGTCATCTAGTCCAACCCCCTGCTCAGGCAGGAAACCCAATACCATTTCGGACAAATGGCTGTCCAAATCTCTTCTTGAAAACTTCCACTGTGGGAGCATTCACCGCCTCTGGAGGCGGGTTGTTCCACTGGTTCATTGTTCTAACTGTCAAGAAGTTTCTCCTTAGTTCTAGGTTGCTTCTCTCCTTGATTAAATATAATTTAAGGAGAATTACGAAAGTAAAGGTTAGACACCAAATCCCTTTTTCACGCCTCTGCTTCCTTTCAGTGCCAAGACATGCCAAGTTTTATAATTAACTGCAGCCTAAAAAGGAAGAAATGGGAATCCATTGTGTCTCAGGTGACCTGTTTACATTCTTTTGAAGTGAGAGGCAGGCTAGTCATCGGGCTGGAAAGAGTCCCACCTTCTTCTTCGCAGCTGGAAGATGAGCAATCTTTTAAAAGAAGGAAAGACCAACTTGTGACATTCTTTGCCTTTGAATGTTTGGCGCCTACACTTAGCCTCGTTTTGTCAACCGATTAACCGATGACAGAGATCCATCCGGGATGGTTCAGCTCCACCCTGAGCCTCATCGTTTAAGCCAGTAGTTCTCAACCTTTTTAATGCCGCGACCCCCTCCAACCGGTCGTAAGTCAAGGACTACTCAACCGGTCGTAAGTCGAGGACTATTCAATTGGTGCAGCACCGTTTGCAGAATGGGACTTTTGGCGGGCTCAGCAGGGCACAGACAGCCTGGACAATTCCTATTGGCTTTTGAAAGCCAATAGAATTAGATTCTATTCAAGAGAGTCTATTCTATTGGCTTTCAAAAGCCAATAGAATAAAAGGGAGGAGCACAGCTAAGGAAAAGGAGGGAAAAATGGCGGACTGCGTTGTTTGGCAACCCCCGTGAAATGGTCGTTCAACCCCAAATGGGGTCCTGACCCACAGGTTGAGAACCACTGGTTTAAGCTCATTCCTCAGTATATTTGTGCAAGTGGCCCATTGAGAAACCACAGACCCTTCTCAAAAAGCTGATTGTCTGGCTGCCGCTGGGAGTCGTTAATCAGAATTAAAACTGGAAGGGACCTTTGAGGTCTTCTAGTCCAGGGGCCCCCAACCCCCAGTCTGTGGACCAGTACTGGGCCACGGCATGTCAGGAACCGGTCCACGCAAACAAGCAAAGCTCCATCCGCCGGATGCAGGCAGCACACAAAACCACGCACCCTCCGGGTTTGCGGAAAAACCTCTCTCCACGGAACCAGTCCCTGGTGCCCCAAAGGTTGAGGACCTTTGTTCTAATCCAGCCCTCTGCTCAGGCAGGAAACCCTATCCCATTTCAGACAAATGATTGCCCAATCTCTTCTTATAAACATTCTCCAGTGATGAAGCACCCACATCGTCTGGTGGCAAGATGTTCCACTGGCTAATTATGCTCACTGCCAGGAAGTCTCTCCTTAGTTCCAGCTTGCTTCTCTCCTTGAGTAGTTTCCATCTGTTCCTTCTTGTCCTGCCTTCAGGTGCTTTGGAGAATAGCTTGACTCCCTCTTCTTTGGGGCAGCCCCTCAAATATTCGAAGACTGCTATCATGTCCCCCCTCGTCCTTCTCTTTATTAGACTAGCTGTACTCAGTTCCTGCAACCGTTCTTCATATGTTTTTATCTCCAGGCTTTTAATCATCTTAGTTGCTCTTTTTTGCACTTTTTCCAAAGTCTCAACCTCTTTTCTGTAAGGTGGTGACCAAAACTGGATGCAATATTCCAGGTGTGGCCTTACTAAGGCTTCATAAAGCGGTGGACTAATAGTTCACGTGATTTTGATTCTATGCCTCTGTTTATACAACCAAGGATTGTATTGGCTTTTGGGGCTGCTGCCGCACACGGCTGGCTCACGTTTAAGTGATCGTCCACGAGGACTCCAAGGTCCCTCTCACAGTGACTGTTTTTGAGTCAGGTTTTGCCTAATCTCTATTTGTACCTTTGGTTTTTCCTGCCAAAGGTACAAGAATCACAGTAAATCAATTTGCCAGAAAAGAGTGGCATAATAAATCTGGAGACCATTTTAATTCATCTTCTGATTTATCCATGTCACAACTCCCCAAGCCCCAGAATATCCATCCAAGTTATCGTATTTTCCGGCGTATAAGACGACTTTCTAAACCATGCAAATCTTCTCCGAAGTCGGGTGTCGTCTTACACGCCGAGTTGTCTTATACGCCAGAAAATACAGTAATTCAATCCCACCGTCATGCAAATACTGGACTTTTGGCAGATTATACAGTCATAAGTGGATTTGGGGGCCCCTGATCAGTCAGATCCCATGGGGGGCTGGATCAGTTCAAAATTCCCAGTGCCCCAACAACTGTGTGTGTATGGGGGGGCTGCTCTCCACAATTCTCTGCCTTCATACAACAGTCTTAGCTCACAGCTGACCCATTTTCTCACACAGCCATAAGCTACTCAGGCTCTCTGACTTTGCTAGGGAAAAAAAAAACATCCTTAACCCAATTAGGATAATTCTCATCCGTACAGCTCAGCTTCGCATTTGTTTTGAAGGGAAACCATCTGTGAAAAGAATTTAAATCTGTTTTTACAGGGGGGCGGGGCTGGCCTCAAACAAGGTAGCTTTTGTCAAATGTTAAATCCGTATTTTGGCATCTAATCTCACCTCTTGCTGGTTCCTTGGAGGGAGGCGGCAGTTCTGGATCTCTTGGTACCCCTTTCGGTTGCCGTTGGTCTTTCGGCAACTTGTTTTCACCAACTCCATCGTAAGATAATATTTGGCCCCTGAAACTACCTGGATTTTAAAAAAACAACAACACCATAGGTGACCTTAAATAAATTACAGGGGAAAAACCCAGGGCATGTTCAGCTTCATTGATAGCAGTTTATGGGTTGAGAGGAACAAGAAAATAAAGAAATATTTCTGTTTCAGATACAAACAGCAGAAATCACGTCTTTTAGTGCATGATAACACCGTAATGTCACCTTAAATAAATTACAGGGGAAAAACCCAGAACCTGTTCAGCTTCATTGATAGCAGTTTATGGGTTGAGAGGAACAAGAAAATAAGGAAATATTTCTGTTTCACTTAAGAACAGCAGAAATCACATCTTTTGATCCATGATAACAGTCCCTCCCACAGAACACCCCCTAAACTCCCTCCAGCCCCCCCCCCAACCCTTCTATCGCTTCCAGAGCAATTCCGAGCCCTTTGGCTATTCCAGAGGATCCAGCAAGGCTGCCCACCCCTTCAACACTCTCCCACCCCAGACGCACACCTGCAGTACAGGTAATCCTCGACTTACGACGACAACTGACCCCAAAATTTCTGTGGCTAAGTGAGACCTTTGTTAAGGCAGGTTATTGTCCCATTTTACGATCTTTCTGGCCACAGTTGTTAAGTGAATCACCGCAGTTGATGCGTTGTTAAGTGAATCCGGCTTCCCCATTGACTTTGCTTATCAGAAAGGGGATCGCGTGACCCCGGGACACGGCAACTGTCACAAATACGAGCCAGTGGCCAAGCATCTGAATTTTGATCCCGTGACCCTTGGGGGGGGGGTGCTGCCACGGCCGTTAAGTGTGGAAATCAATCATAAATCCCTTTTTTCCAGTGCTGAAGTA